TAAAATACAAAATAGGAGTAGCTGTATTCTGTTACAGTTACAGTTTAAAAAGGTGGTGTTCAGAATACAGTAACTTTGTTGAAATAAATGGATTACACTGCAATTTTTTCCTGTTTCATATATCAGGCTATGCCCTCTCTATTTTTGGTAATTCCACGCCAGTGGAAACCCAAACAAAACACGCATTGAGGCTCTAAAGCCTGTGTCTCAATCTCGTGGCCTATATCACCCCTACTTGCAGCCCGCATAATGACGTGACGAAATTATTGTTCAAAAAATTATTTAATATGAAGGCAGTGTAGCCCAGTTGTAAGTAAGCTATTAAGACTCAACTGTACACTTTTTTCGTGTTTTTCTCTGAAACGATAAGTTCCATTGGAGCAGCCTTTCAAAGCCTCTCTCTGTCTCTCGCAGGCAAAGTTGACCCAGACAACAAAGTAAAGCTAGTTTTCAGTTACGAGCCTGACACGGGACCTGACATATTAGCCAGACGTCCATTTACTACGGTTCGGAGCCGCGGACCTGTTTTATATACGTGCAGAATAGTTTTGTACACGAGATCGCTGCTAAAAGTGCAGCCTTACCTAATGTCCACCCTACTGCTCATTTTGTATTAAGATTTAAAAATCTAGTTGTTATTGGTATGGCGAGTAACCTTCAGTAATAGTAATAAATCACACAGCAATAGTACATTCATGCAGTTGTAAAAAGCTTGATAAAATATTGTAATCCAGAATTCAATTCAATTTTATTTATATAGCGCCAAATCACAACAAAAGTCGCCTCAAGGCCAGAGTATTCAGAATATGTTACTCTCATTGAATAACGTAACGGAATACGTTACAAAATATATTTTGTGGCATGTAATCTGTAGTGGAATACATTTTAAAAGTAACCTTCCCAAAACTGGTCTTGAGCCATCCCTCATTTCTCTGTATAGGAAATAGATGAAGCAATTCATCGACATATGTGAGCTTTCTGGTTATTTCTTTATGTACGCTTCGGGAATAGCTCTCCAGGCTTCTTGAAGGACATTCAGAGCTCTTCTTTGGATGTTGGCTGCCTTTTCTTCTGTTCTCTGTCAACATGATCCCACACTGCTTCAATAACTCTGGGGAAGGCCAATCCATGACTGATAGTGTGTCATTGTGTATTTTTCTATCCAGGCATGCTTTTACTGCGTTGACAGTGTGATCATTGTCATGCTGAAAAATAAGGCCACTGCCAAGGTGTTTCCAGATGATATCTCATGGTGGCTCAATATCTGGCTGTACTTTTTCTTCGGCTTTCACAATTCCATCAATTCTGAAAAACATCCCCAGCAACACTGGCTCAAATGCAGCCCCAAGACATGACAGAGCCTCCACTGTGTTTTAAAGAAAGCGTGAGACGCTCACTGTTTTAACTCTCTCCTGAGCTCTATTCACTTGGCATACCTCAGTCCTTTTTCCCCCAATGGAACAAGTTCTGTGTTTTTGCAACAGGCTGCTAGTAACAAAAAGTGCCTTTGGTTCTGAACCAAACTGGTTCCCTGTCTATGTGTAGACGCAACACTGGTTCATCCCTTACATTGGGTGCCGTTTCATGCTTGAATGATTCATAGGTCAGTGTTTAGTGTCTTAAAACACAAACAAAAAACAACATTCCTCTAAAAATGGTCAAGTGCGAGAACTGGACTGAAAATGAGTGAAAAACCATTCAAAGTTCAAAGGAAAAACTTTGGAAAGCCTGAGCCAAAAAACTTGGAGAACTGTTGCTCAAGACCACTTTAAAAAGAATATAAGTCCATCTCTTTAGAAGCAAAATATGAAAAACAAGGGGAAGCTCAAGAGTTTTGTACAGTAGTGTGTTAAATCTTTGCTCATGTCTTTAATTGTGCCTGTTCATTTATCCATGTGCGTGTCACATCTCATCCACTGCTGGTTACATTTTGCTAAATATTGTGAGTGACTCATCTCTGTGCTGCTTTTTAGTAATTTCAAAATTGCCCTCACTGGCACAAAGCACAGCATACCGTACAATTACAGGTCGAGACATGCTGACATACTTACATGCTCTTACTGGCCCAAACCTAGAGTGCCTAATCTGTCTGGGGATGTTGTGTTTACTGTTTGATTGTTTCTGCCCTCAACCAAATTCTGTTGCCAAGCCCTTCCATCCAGATTTGCTTAGTCGCTGTGATTATGTTTGTCACCAGGCAACATTAGCTCAGTAAAACAGTTATGTAAGAGATGCAGGATTGCCACTTAACTGTTTACAGAAGACTCATTCAGAATTACTGTCATTTTTTTCGTGATTTGAAAAAAAGAAGCTATGTTGTAGCATTTAGCTCAGATGTCTTTTCAAAAAGATTTTTAAATGCTGCTTACTTTCTATAAGACAGTTGGAGTAGAAAAGGTGCTCTGCCTGCTTTTTTTCATCGTCTTATCTTTTGTAAAATAAGCAAACAGCCAAGGAGATCTCTATGAATCATATTTAGACTCATATCCTTGTTTATTACACCTCATAGTTAGAATTACAAGCCAAGGGCTGTTTGTCTGTGTAGCGCTTTTCCAACATAGAGGACATTCACAGTGCTTGGCAAACCGCAAAGAGAAACCGAAAAGAATTAAACAAATCTAGACTTTAAAACAAAAACTATATATGTTTTCAGTGCATTCACAGCTGATTTGAATGAATGAAAGGCACTTGAATGCCAGAGTAAACTGGAGATTGGGTAAGGCTACTTTGCCACATGATTTTGAAGGTAGTTTATCTCTTATTTTTTTGATTCCTGAGACTTTTTGCCTTTAAAAAAGACCTGTGTTTAATTATCCATTAAATGACATTTATTACAGTTTTGTAACAAGGTTTTTATGCTTGCAGGGGAAGATAAAAAACACAGTGTATGGCTGCTTTACCACTGGTTGGAGAACTGGGTTTTGTTTTTGTTGTAGCATTAGCGCAGTGAGCTGCACTCTGTGCTCCACCTGTGTTTGAACTCTCCTTCATACATAATCCATTTTAGCTCAGAAAGTCATTGAGATAAAGCACAGTGGGTGAAAAGTTCATCCAGTTGCATTACTGTAATAACCAGGATTCAAAGCCTTCCTGTATCCAGTAGGGTTGTGTAAGGTGTGTGTTAGGTGTGTGTAAGAGCTAACTAGGTTTTGTCTTTTAGTACATTTGAGAACCTTCTGTATGACTACACAGGTCTGACGGTCTCTAGGAAAAGCTAAAACCATGACAAAATACTGGGTTATCCAGCATTTCCCAAGTATATGGAATCATGTTTTCACCCAATTCTGTATTTAACTCTTTTCCTTCTTGGAGATGCACAAACATGGAGCAGGCTTTTGTGCTGAGTTTTGTCAGAGTTAAGTTTAAGCCCTGCAGATATTAATGTAGAAATTAAGCGAATGTATCATAATTGTACTGTACATTGTTATAAAAGTACACATGTATTGCAATACACTTATGTATATCTGAACAAACAATTTTAGAAATGTAAAAGTGACCTCACATATATTTTGCGAAGCTATGAAGAAAAGACAACAGTGCACTGAAAAATCACACTGACACACACACACACACACACACACACACACACACACACACACACACACACACACACACACACAGAGAACAGCAAAGACATCAGCTATTGATCTTTAGTTTCTTTCAGTTCTGTGTTGAGTACAGTCAGATCTCTTCAGGCAATGTTGCTGCTTTAAGCCTGTTTGTTGTACACTGACTGTGTGTCTGTACTTTAGAAAAGCTGCCTGTGTACCCACAGGGTTTCCAAATTTGTCATCCTTACTCTTCAGCCAAGTTTTCAGGTGGATTTTAGATGATCAAATCGATTTTACAGCTGATTGAACTTCTTTCCGGCAATGCTGCCAAACAGGAAATGAGGTCATATCTTAGCAACTGTGTCATTTATTTTGACACCAAACCAAATAATTAGATTATACCAAAAAAAAAAAGTAATTTGACCACTGGGAGGTGCTACAATAAGCAAAAACATGTTTGTTCTTTCAGTCCACAAAGTCACGCTTTTAACATGACCAGATTAAGTTGCCATGGCGACTGAGCCCTGCTGAATCACTTGGACCCCTCTTTGGTGCATGCAGCTATGTTACACTTGAGAATTTTTAGAACAGGTTCAGTAACATCAGTGGCCACTGATGAGATAAAAATGCCGGTTTCCTTCGAATATTTTGTTGTTTCACTCTTGCCTGATCATGTAGACGAGCAGACTTGCTGTTTCATAACTCCCCCGAGGGTCTTTTATCCATATTTTTTGTTGGTTTTTTGGAATTGCAGTTTTGAGGCTGTTACTGACTGCTGTTGGAAGTTGGGGTTTTTTGTCATATAAAAACTTTTAAAAAGTAGAATTAAGCGTTTCATCATTTATATCAGAAGCCGATATGAAGTTCATAATGTCTAATGTGAGTTCTCACATTAACACAAAACCTCCGACATTGTCAGTCGCACCCATGCTGAGCAGTGTCTTCATTTTAATGGTGACACCTCTGGAAATTACACCTGGTGGCCCCTCTCATAAATGGGCTCGGATGACACTGCGCTCGAATGTACGGGAACAAATACGCCACAATTACTGCCACTGTTGGAGGGTGGTCAAAAGAAAAGTATGTCGCACTGTGATCTCACTGCCCACACATTCCCGTCCTGAATCGGAAAGCTAGTTTCTTGTACTCTCTGTGTGAGTAAGTGTGTTTATGCAACCGTGTGAGAGAGAGAACAAGAGAGAGTGCGTGCCAGACACAGAGACTGTAGTGTTTTCAGTTCGTGCAGCAGATTTTGCTACGATAATCAGCTGGATTGTTTTGCTCGCCCAACATCTGTCTCAAACACACACAAACACAACCATTATATAGTCATTACTGTCAGGCTGATGCTGTGCAGCCCTCTCTGACATGCTCTTTCTCTCTCATACATCTCCTTCCTCCTTTCTTTGTCTTGTTCCTATCCTCTCCTGTCTTCTCTTCTTCCTCCAGACGGTTTCGATCTTGGAGCAGCGGCTGACGCTGACGGAGGATAAGCTCAAGGAGTGTTTGGAGAACCAAATGGAAATCGGTCTACATCTCCAGAGAAGCGAGGAGGCTTAACGTTAGTGGTACCAGAGACACATTGATCTGTGTTGTTGGAGGGGGGAAGTGTGGTTGCATCAACACCATACACCGTTGCCATTTGATCACACTGAAAGCAAGGACTGAACCTTAAATGCACACTGAGCCTTCCCGCTGATGTACTGTGTCTGGCTGTGTTGAAAAGAGATATGAGAAGTGAAGGAGTTGAATATTAGAAAAGTTTCAGTACAGCAGTGCTGAGCATGCAGTCGCTTTCCTGCTGACAAAAAGACCCCACTTTACCGCTGTGACACACTGTGTGCGATTGAGCGTAATGGCTGCCTGTACAGGTGTTGACACTTGTGCACAGTGTGTATGTTTTTACCCAGTCTATATTGTGCAGGAGGCCATTAGCCACTGGGGGTTTTTTTTTTCACCGAAAAGTGCATATTTGTGTAAACATCAGTCATATTTGTCATTTTTGAAAGGAAGGATGTGGCTCAATGATCCTGTTGCGTTAAGACAGTTACTCAAGACGTTTGTTCTCTGGTAACGTTTACAGAGCCCCCACAGTGCCTTTATTTAGTTTAAGGTGAGAGAATGTTTCCAGCTGACAAGCTTGAGGCCATTTTTATTACTATTTCTATTTTAATTACACAATGCATCTGGTGATAGGTTTTGTTTTTTGTTTTTTTTACTGAAATTACCATTCTTTAGTGCCTCCAGCAAGTACTGAAAGATAACAGGTTGTTGATTTTCATGGTGACTATAAATGATGCCAGACCTCATATTTTATGTTAAAGTAATGCTGCTTTTTACATTGGTTCTTTTTGTTCTGTCAATAAAACTTTTATCCACTGAAAACAGACTTTTAATAAATGTTTTCACTTCTCAAGTGTGGCGTGAAAGCCAAAGTTAGGTGATGAAATATTTCTGGTTCCCTTTTCGTTATAATGAGTACCATTTTTATAGCTTTGTAGAAAAAAAAATGTAACAGGCTATTACTAAGAGACTGGTCATTTTCTCGTTGGGAGAGCTAAAGTTACTGCCAGAGAAGTCATGACTTCCCTGTCTTTGTTGTGCTGAGCAGAAATGTGAGGATCATGAGCTGTGAGCGGTGTCATCCATTGCTCATGGCGAGTAATTTTCAACCCGTTCTTTACCACAGTTTGAGCGATGATTAATTTTTTTTAAAGTATGGGGGTGAATGCTCCTTCCCCGCTTGTGTCCAAAATTCTTCGGTTCCCCCCCGAGTATTTTACGTAACCTGAGCGCTGATGCTGGATCAGTATTTTTATTTTTAGATGCTTCATTGAAAATGTGCCCGAGGCTGCGCTTAGACGCACACTGTGATTTTTCAAAGAACAGATCCATGGTTTTTTTTGTTTTGTTTTTTGTGTGTGTGTGTGTGTTTTGGGTTTTTTTTTTTTAATTCAACAAACTGGAAATATGATTATATACAGTAATGAGTCATCTTGAGGTCGTTGTGGAGGACTCATGGCTGTGCCATTGAGAAGGGAAAATATTAATGCCTGTTTCTTTAAGACCCGGCTCAGGCTCTGCACTAATGGAAAAAGAAGAAAAACAAAACCGGAATTCTGGAGCTGCAATGCCGGGCCCACTCTCTTCCTTCCTGTCTGGGGCCCGGGGACACACATATATATGCACACACACACATGCTCAGACATACGCACTCTCAGAGAGACACTCCAGCCAGAGAAAACAACTCCCTTTACTATGGGCCTCAACCAGACAGCCTGCCAGGAGCACCAGTGCGAGAGAGGAGGGGCTGAAAGAGTGGGTTCAATAACTGCTATGCTTCAGTGTGTGTGTGTGTGTGTGTGTGTGTGTGTGTGTGTAGGAGGGGGTTGGTGAGCCTATGAGGAGAACATCTGGATATGTTTTTCCTGGTGTGCTGTGGTTGCCGCCGCTCTTTGTGTGTATGTGTCAGTGTGTGTTTTAGTGCTTTACTAGTTCAGCGTGTCACGTCTTTACATTGTCCTGTTCCTCGAGGCTTTCTTTTTCCTCAAACATCGCATTATATTCTGACAGATTTATGATGTAGAAATGATAACCAATGGGCTCAGACTGCCAAATGTCTCTGCCCTCTTGGAGCAGGTGGAGAATTTCCCGCCACACAAATTATGCAAACTATCTAAAACCATTTGGTATTCTTAGAACTACAATATGTTGCATGTATCCTAAATATTGAAATAGTCATTTCCCCAGCATAGTGGTCACTGCTTAATGAGCTGATGGGGAACTGGAGGTTTGTAGTTCCAGGAAATAAAAGAGAGGTTGTCTGAGGATCTAAAATACTCAGAACAGATGTGAGGAAGTAAAATAACACAGAAGAGCCCAGCATTCTGGAAACTATAGGTTGTGTAATGTGCAAAAGTTTCCAGGGAATTAGGTGCATTGTACATTTTTACCAGCCCAGTGAGACACATGCAGGGGGTTCACAGAATAATATCGAAATGCTTGGTAAAAACAAACATTACAGTTTCTAATTTATAAAAGAAACCTTAAAAAAGCAGTTGATATTTTCCAAAGATGTATAACCTAATAACAAAGCTTTCTTTATTTCTTTCTAACCTGGATTGCTAAAAAAAAAGAAAATCTACAAAAATATTACATCAAAGGGGTTGTGTAGTATGTCAGACAGTGTAAAATGCCTGTAATTTGACTGCAACCTAATTATGCCCCACTTTGAAGCAGCGATTGAATCAGTGATCAGCCCTTTTCTGATAAATGGGTTACCACAGTGTTTAAACGCTGAGACAGAACCCCTCGACTGAAAGTAAGACCACTCTCACTGACATCATAAACCGTTAATACACTTAAATAAGCTTCAAGAACAAAGAGCAGAGATGCTAACCACATTTGACTTATTTTAAGACTGGATGTGTTTTGGAGGTTAAAGTTTCCACTGTTTTTATACCATATACTTTTATTTCATTTTTTTTTATTGGGATTACTTACAGCGCTTAGGAAATGTATTTTTATTTTATTTATGATATTTTCTTAGGCCACTTAAAGCAAAAAAAAAAAACTTCAAAAATCAGTTTAAAGCTGGAAATCATGTTGTTTTTTTTAATTCTGGAAATAAAGAACAAAATTCACATTTCTATTGCCCAAGATTTGAGCCGGCACACTGGACTTCTCTGGGGATTTGGAAATTGATCAAGCACAACATTCAAACACTCTGTTCGGGAATACAAGTAAATAACTGTAATTTTGCTTCTTGATCAAAAAATAATACAGTGGAACCCCGACTTACGAAATTAATTAGTTCCAGAGGGTCTTTCGTAAGTCAAAATTTTAAGTAACTCAAAGCACCTTTTTCCATCGCCTTTTGAGCGAGGCGATGCTGGCTGAAAACGAAGTTCTTGGTGGAGGCTGAAGAAAGCATACATAGGCATGCATACATACATACGTGTACATGTACATAACATTATGGAATTTAATTCTAAACATTAAAACTAAACTTACATTTACGTTAATTAATGTACGTACGTACACTGTGCAATGATATTTTAACAATTTTTTAAACTCGCTAATATTTATGCCTTATGCCGGCCCCATTATGAATGAACGATAGGCTAATTGCAAACGAAAAGCACACGAAATAGCACACTGCAACAACAATACGTCTTTCACGTGGAACAGCGAAATGCATTTCGCAAACGGATTTCGTTACACTGGCATTTTGTTGTACCACGGGCAAAAATATTGCCGTTAAGTGCCTTCGTAACTTGAATTTTTCGTTACATGGGGTCTTCGTAAGCCGGGGTTCCACTGTAATTTTCTTTTTTGTAAAACTGTAACTTTGGAAGTTTATGGATAACAGCAGTAATTATGTTTCAACATTCAAAATATACTTTTTGGAGCTTGTAATAGTTGTGGATTAACCATTACAGAAACATAAAAAAACATTTTTTAAGTACCAAAGTGGTACATTGGTTGGTCGTCTAATAAATTTGTTCAGCACTCTGCTAGTTTCAGAAACATCACTTATTCTATGTATTGCCGGCCTTTATTTTAAAAAAAACAAAAACATTATAGTTCTGTTTTTTAGGGGAATACACAGTACAGATCTACAGTTTGGGAAAGTTTCTCTTCCAAGAGAGGTGATTTCCCACCTCTGCTACCTGTTTCCTTGGAGAAACGATGATTAGTACATTTATCAGAAGTGCTTTTGTGATTATAGAATTGCTGTTTTTCCTTTTCCTTAGATTAGATTTGTAGTAACTGTCTCTATCTGTTTCTCAATCATCTGAAAATGAAAGTCAGACATTCAAAAAAATTTTATTTAAATGTAACACTATAAATATTTTGATAATCTGAAAGGATGCGCTGTTTATTCTTTCTAGAATTTTGTCCATAAATTCTTTTTTTATCGGTTGTATGTGGATAAAAGAGAAAATTGTTAAAGGAAAGCTATTATTTCTACCAGAGTAGATATACATGAGCCACAGTTCAAACTAAGCCTTACTTAACAGTTTTAGATCACTTCTCTAAGCCAGCTTTCTCTAGTTTGGTTTGAAAGACGAGGTTTGAACAGCAGATGGGCAGGGCTTCTGTACACATGACCACTAATTGTGTGATGTCAACTTGTCTGCCGTTTTAGACATGTAACAACCATGGTGACAATGTACGAAAGCGTGAAAAAGGCCGGAGTCACTCAAGCTGTGACACAGTGGTCTGCAACCATCTCACAACTAGCCAGCAATAGGGAAACAAACGTGCATTCCCCAATTGGTATAATCAGGTAGTTGCTGGAGGCTGATGGCAATTGCTGGGAAAATGATTGCTCAAGTCAAAGTCATTCAGGTCTACAGACAATCAGTGACTCCCTGGCAACCACCTATCACTATGGAAAAATGTGTATTTCCCCAACTGGTTGGCAAAAACTTCCTTGTGATTGCTTTGTTCTCTAACAATTGCTGCAGACATATAGTGCTGTGAAAACGTATTATCCCCCTTTGCTAATTTGTTATTGCATGTTTCAGATCATCAAACTAATTTTAATATTATTCATAAGCCGAATAATTATGAAATGCAGTTTTCAAATTATGATTTTATTTAATAAGCGAAAAAAGTTATCCACACCTAGCTTGACCTTTGTTTTAAAAAAAGGTTATCCCTTGCTAAACCTAGTAACTTCCAGTTCTTGATCGCAACTTAAGCATCAAGAACTGCAGTCAAGTATTTGCAATAACTGGAAATGAGTCTCAATCATCTCAATCGTCTAAAACTAAGAAAATTCCAAATGGAGACTGTTTGTACTCAGAGTAAAACTTGCCCCTCATGTTGGCTGCAGGATGGAGGCACAATTTTTACTTGCAAACCAGCTTCCTGCTTGTGTTGCACTTTTCCCGCATTTTCCTACCTCTGGGCTAGTAGTTGGCAAGTATTTGTTGACAAACATGAAAACCTACTGACAACCATGACAGTCTGCTAGCAATCAAAGACATTGCTAGGAGGCTTTTGGTGCTTTTCAGCTTTCATGCAATGATTTCACCCAGCAACGGCGGAAAACGTCAAAGAACCACTGCCGGTAAGTTGAGGAATACACGTTTTCCTAGCAAACAGTGGTTGCAACCAACACTGATTGTACATATGCTGACATGATTTAAACTGTGGCCATGTTTAATATTAGCTTCCACCATTGTAACAATCCATACAGTGCTATGCAAAAGCAGTGAGCCGGCCCTTGTCTCTTGACGTACGAGAAGAGTTGACATCTTTGAGTGATTTGAGATTACTCATGTGTGCCCTTCTTATTTTGAGACATTTCACTGCAGCTTTCTGTATATGAATGAAAATAATGAAAAGGAGAATGGGCTCCCTTTTCATAGCTT